TTCCTTTTCCATTGGACATCGTAAGACTTCCTTTTCCATTGGACATCATGATATGATCGATATCGCGCTGTACACATATTTAAACCAGTTATTTATCTATGTATCAACTGGGGTAATGTGATTAGTGACTTCTTATCAAATTCCTTATTATTGATGAAAAGTATATCCATTATCAAGTTTTGTATGTATTCATAGGTATGTATGTTAATTTATGAGTTATTGCATTATCAATTTCACGTAAGTCACAAACATATTCAAAATGTATCAGGCAAATTTATGGTGGTCCTTCCCATTATAATAAATCGCATCGAATACAAGTCTGAACTGAAATATCTATTGTTCTGGGAACTTGAAACTTATTTCTTAGGATTTTCATAAATTGTAAGACAAAGTTGCTTGTAATCATTTGTGTAACCTTTTAATACACTTATAATGTAAAATAATATGGACATTTTTAAAGTACTCCATTTTTCACATATATGTACGTATGTATATGTCCAGTGCTTATAATATCTGCGCATTTGACAAAAAACATGCATATATGTATTATAATCCTAACAACTTTCGATGTGTCACATTAACATTTGTGAGTTTTAATAATGTACAGTAATGCTGATTCTGACTGTACCTGTACTGTTGATACAATTATAGATTTGAATAGATAATATCCAAATGCTTAATAAAGTCACATGTTGTATACGTTTGTGTATATATTTGTGTGTATTTATAAATACTATGTATATGTCTTTACCTTTATTTGTATTTCTATAATTAGAGTGTAAAGTTATGGATAATAAAAAAAATCAATATCTCCCGATAAAGATATTTTTTATCATCAACGCATTATCATCATTACGAGAGAGTTTGATGAGCTATAGTCAGCTACACTTGTCTAATGCGTTGGGGTATTAATACATTTTCATATTATCCCTTAGTTTATTTATAGAAGTAATTATTAAAAGATTACTCAGTTTAAAACTTTGTATAGGGATGGATGTCGAATTATAGTTATTAAAATTATATATATGTATATATATATATTAGACATTATCACATACGTTTCTCTAATCCCAAAGTAAGTGTCGTGGAAATCGGAAACAACGACAGTACCACAAACACCCAGATCCGAGATAATATAGAAAAGTTAGTTTCTACACTGACCCGGCCGGGGATCGTACCCGGGACCTCAGAGATGGCGACACCATGAAAACCGGTATGCCAGCAATTCGACCACAGAGGCCGTCATGTATGTAACAGTTGTTGCTGCAAGTCAGTTGTCACCCCTTACAATATTTTCTACTATTTGCTTATAAAATCTTTGCACTGCGAGCACTGGATGAGGAGGTCCCGGGTTCAATTCCGGGTGAAATCAGTTTAAAAAATGAATTTTTCTACATTGGTTCTGGTCTGGGTGTTCTGGGAAGTACTTCAGAGTGAAAGCTACGGAGCTCGGGTAATCATAGCACAGGGAATTCCCTAGTTTGATACCAGGCAATCGGTGATGTTGTCTGGCACATTATTAAAAGTAACTATAGTCCCAAATTAATAATAATAATAATAATAATAATATATATAACGCACACACTCAACAGCCCCGCACTAGGGAAAACCCTGTGTCGCGGGTGCCATGGACACACATAGACAACCACGCATTACACCCAAACTCACTAGAGAAATAAATGTAGGCCATACGAATATTTCTCCCGGCCCGGGAATCGAACCTGTGACGTCTGCGTGGCAGTCCGGCATGGTAATCGTTCAACCACGCAGGCAGTTAATGTAGTGTGGTCATTGTTATACCAACAATTAACTGCCTCCGTAGCCGAACGGTTACCATGTCGGACTGCCACGCAGAGGTCCTGGGTTCGATTCCCAGGCCGGGAGAAATATGTGCATGGCCTACATTTATTTCTCTAAGTAAGGGTGTAATTTGTGGTTGTTTATGTGTGTGTCCATGGCACCCGCGACACAGGGTCTCCCTAGTGCGTGGCTATGAGTGTTGCGTGTGTGTGTTGATTAAATTGATTTGACAGTTATTATTTCTAAACCGAGTTGATAATGCTTTGGGGTTCGTATTAGTGTATTGAAATAATAGTAATAATATAAATATTTGTAATATTATAAATATAATTATACAATACTATATAGATATATGAAAGGCACTAATTTTTGTTTGTCAAGTTATTGAGCTTAATAGTTTATCTAAATACAAATAAAAAAATCACCTATGTTTTAGACGTTTAATATCCAAACCAAATTAATTTAAGAAATAAATAATGTAAATTAAATATTTATTCATCTTTATAAGAGAAAATCTGTTGGTGTATTTAATTACTAGTTAAAATAATATATAATTTTTGTAACTTATTATTTGATTTGTCGCTTAATTCGTTTATTTGTATAATAACAATTTGTTATATTTTTCTATTTGATTTTTTTGTAAACGTTTCAATATCGAGATGATAAATTGGTTTTGTATATTTGTTTCATGTAGGTATGTAAAATGAGTATATCTTGAAACAAAAAAATATTTAAGTAGATAGAAATGATAATTTGATATAATGTAGCAAATTCCATTTGCAAAGCGCTATTTTCAGTATGTTACGTGGTTTATTCTCAACACGTATTCATGGTGCAATGACAAGACCAATTATTAAACGCTTAGTGTGAAAAATGATCGTTTAGCACACTGGAATAGTATTATGTAAATGTGGCTCCAAATATTCTTACGTAGGAAGAAAACTATCGAATACATTAATATTACGAGCAAATATAATATTATAATGATCATGTAATAGCATCGAGTATATAACCAGGAATAGAGACGAAATAAGGGCCATATATTCCTGGTAATACATTAGCGATACACTTCTTATAAATATCAATTTTCGTTTGCACTGAAATATAGACAGGCCAACTACTGACCTGTGCGTACGTCTCCGTATATTCCAAAAAATATTTTGTATTTATTGTAATACAGATAATATCTCTAACAATGCCGTGCTGTTCTATTCGGTGGTGTGGGAAAAACAACAAAACATCTAATTACAAAATAAACGGAATCACATTTCATCGGTAATTAAATATTAAATATGTAATTTTGTAATTTTGGTCCATTGTACCAAAGCTCAAGTTAACTGGTCGATTTGGAGTGAAACAGTTGACGACACCCGTCAATTGTTTTGAACTCGGGCTAGCCAATCGGAACGCAGTTGTCACAGTAATGATATGGCAAAATAGTTTTTAAAACAAATTAAATGACATTTCGTCTCTATTTCTGGTTATATACTCGATGTGTAATAGCTAATGTGACGTAAATAAACACATATTGATGTTGGTTAATAAGATTTCAGTGCCTTGAGGTAGCTAGAGTTACTACATTATTAGTAGCTAAACTTATATCATCTACAATTACAGTACCTATCAAAATGTTTGCGTTGAAGTAAAGGGACGTTTACAAGCGTTGCTAATTTAACTTTGTTTTGTTTTTCTTATAATTTCGAAAAAAAGGTACTAAATAAGGATAATTTTAAAGCACACTTGCCCTTTTCAACAGAGTTAAAATATTTTTT